GAATACTTAACTGTGAAAGATCCTGCGGATCTTTGGAAAGCTTTGAAAGAAAGATACGATCATCAGAAAACAGTAATTCTCCCCCGGGCTCGTTATGAATGGATGCACTTACGCTTCCAAGATTTTAAAACTGTAAACGAGTTCAATTCAACCATGTTCCGCATTTGCTCGGTATTGAAATTATGCGGGGAAAACGTAACTGATTACGATATGCTTGAAAAAACGTTGTCCACATTCCACGCTTCAAACGTACTTTTGCAGCAACAATACAGAGCAAAAGGCTTTGTGAAATATTTTGAGCTGATTTCTTGGTTGTTGCTAGCCGAACAAAATAATGAGCTGTTGATGAAAAATCATGAATCTAGACCCACGGGGTCTACTGCGGTCCCTGAAATAAATGCTGTAATATCTAAACAGGGAACCGGAAATGAAAACAGCCAAACAAATGTGCGTGGATATACCTCGGGACGTGGCCGTGGTCGTGGACGTGGACGTGGACGTGGACGTGGATATGGTCCAGATAGAAATTATGGACGAGGCCGAAATTTTTTCCCAGGATACAAATCTGGCCGAGGTAATTATCATGGACATGGAAAAAACGATTTTCATAAACATTCTGAAAATAATAAAGGGGATAACGATGAAAAGGCATGCTATCAATGTGGTAGAAATAACCATTGGGCTCGAAATTGTCGAGCCCCAAGGCACGTGGTTGAAAAATACCAAGATTCCCAGAAATCAAAAGATAAGAATATAGAAACTATTTTATGGTTGGGGAATCCTCTGAAAATGATACAACGCGTGTGGATGATGACTATGGCATCGATGACATATTGAAACTGGATTTTGCCGATGCGGCATTTGAAGACGGAGCTGGAAATGACCTAGAGAATAACTGATGATCATGTTTTTATTTTGTTTTTTGAGTTGTAATGTATTTGTGTATGAGCTACTTGTATCTGTACTTTGAATTTGATCAATAATAAATGTTGTTTTCTTTTAGATCATGGATCGGTCTCGAATTCAAGATGGAGATATATGTATTGCAGATTGTGCTACTACTCATACTATCCTCAAGGACAGAAAATATTTCGTGAACTTGAAATTAAATGAAGCAAAAGTAAACACAATATCCGAAAGTGCAAAGATAATTGAAGGTTTTGGAAAAGCCATATTTTTTATGATGGGCGGTACAAAATTTATATTAAGTGATGCACTATTCTCCCCAAAATCAACAAGAAATTTGTTGAGTTTTAAAGATATCCGAACGAACGGATACCACATTGAAACAATGAATAAAGGGGGAGTTGAATATCTTTGCATTACCTCAGATAATGCGAGAAATAAATGTGTTTTGGAGAAGTTACCCGCTTTATCCTCGGGTTTGTATTATACCCGGATTAATATAATTGAGGCATATGCTGCAACAAATTCAAAGTCGAATGAAATATTTAAACTTTGGCATGATCGACTTGGTCACCCTGGCTCGATAATGATGCGACGAATTATTGAAAATTCTAGTGGCCATCCACTAAAAAATGAGAGGATATTGCAAACACATGAGTTGACATGTGCCTCTTGTTCTCAAGGGAAATTAATAATGAGACCATCACATACTAAAGTCGGACATGAATCACCATTATTTTTAGAAAGGATTCATGGTGATATATGTGGACCTATTCATCCACCTTGTGGTCCATTCAGATATTTTATGGTGTTGATTGATGCCTCTAGTAGATGGTCTCACGTAAGTTTGTTATCCACTACAAATATGGCATTTGCTAAATTACTTGCCCAACTTATTAAATTAAGGGCTCAATTCCCAGATTATATTATCAAGAGAGTCAGACCGGATAATGCTGGAGAGTTTACATCTCAAGCATTTAATGATTATTGTATAACTGTGGGAATTGATGTTGAACATCCTGTGGCACATGTTCACACTCAAAATGGTCTAGCAGAATCACTTATTAAACGACTGCAGCTTATAGCTAGACCATTGATAATGAGAACAAAACTCCCCACTTCAGTATGGGGACATGCTATTCTGCATGCAGATGATCTAATTCGAATAAGACCAAGTGCATACCATACATTCTCGCCATTACAGTTGGCATATGGTCGAGTACCAAATATTGCACATATAAGAGTTTTTGGTTGTGCAGTATATGTACCAATTGCTCCGCCACAACGTACAAAAATGGGGCCTCAAAGAAGGTTGGGAATATATGTTGGATATGAATCTCCATCAATAATCAAATACCTTGAGCCAAAAACAGGTGATGTTTTTACAGCTCGTTTTGATGATTGTCATTTTAATGAAGAATTGTTTCCCCCTTTAGGTGGGAATGAAAAGTCAATTGAGAGAAATATTGAATGGAGAACATCCGCATTATCATATCTTGATCCTCCCACCAAACAAAGAGAGCAAGAAATTCAAAAGATCATACATTTGCAGAATATTGCAAATCAATTGCCAGATGCATTTACTGATTTAAAAAGGGTGACCAAATCACATGTGGTAGCCGTAAATGCCCCTGCTCGAATTGAGATTCCAAAAGAAATGGCAAATGACGATAAGCCAAATGAGTCAAAGACACGCTTGAAACGAGGAAGACCAGTCGGGTCTAAAGATAAGAATCCTCGAAAGAAAAGAGAAATTCTTGACTCCAATTTGAAAAGGAATCAAGATGATGGAAAAATTTCGGGACAAAATGAAAATATTGAGATTTCCATCAATTACGTGAACAATGGGAATCTTTGGAAGCGTGATGAGATCATGAATAATGATGATGCATTCGCATATATGGTATCAAAAGAAATTGATAATGAAGTTGAGGATCCTGAACCAAAATCTGTAGCTGAATGTCAGAAAAGACGTGACTGGGATAAATGGAAAGGCGCCATTCAAGCCGAGTTAGATTCACTAAATAAACGAAAAGTTTTTGGGCCTATTTCCATTATACCAAAAGGCATAAAACCCATTGGATACAAATGGGTTTTCACCAGAAAAAGAAATGAGAATAATGAGATCACGAGATATAAAGCTCGCCTTGTTGCACAGGGATTCTCCCAAAGGCCTGAGATCGATTATGATGAAACATATTCCCCTGACATGGATGCAATTACTTTCAGATACTTGATGAGTTTAGCTACCCATGAAAATCTTGAGATGCGTCTCATGGATGTTGTGACTGCTTACTTGTATTGATCATTAGACACCAACATATACATGAAAGTCCCAGAAGGAATCAAAATGCCCGAAGCACTGAACTCAAAACCTAAGGAGTTATGTGCGTTAAAGTTGCAAAGATCATTGTATGGCTTAAAACAATCCGGGCGTATGTGGTATAATTGTTTGAGTGAACAATTACTAAAAAGGGGATACTTGAATGATCAAATATGTCCGTGTGTTTTCATAAAGAAATCACGTGATGGAGTTGTGATAATTGCTGTCTATGTTGATGATCTTAATATTATTAGGACAGCAAATGAAATTCGAGAAGCAGTTACTTTTCTGAAAGGCGAATTTGAAATGAAAGATCTCGGAAAAACTAAATATTGCCTTGGCTTACAGATAGAGAGAGTACAAAATGGGATATTCGTCCATCAATCTAACTATACTAAAAGAGTACTGAAACGATTTAATATGGACAAAGCTAATCCCCTTAGTACTCCTATGGTTAACCGAACATTGGATGTTGAAAAGGATCCATTTCGACCTTGTGAAGAAAATGAAGAAATACTTGGTCCTGAGGTACCATATATGAGTGCAATAGGGGCTCTTATGTATCTTGCTAATTGCACCAGACCAGATATATCTTTTGCTACCAACTTGTTAGCAAGATATAACTCGTCACCTACAAGGAGACACTGGAATGGAATCAAGCATATATTCCGTTATCTCCAAGGAACAATCGATCTGGGATTATTCTACTCAAATGATAAAAAACATGAAATGATCGGTTTTGCAGATGCAGGATATTTATCAGACCCACATAAGGCGAGATCTCAGACTGGCTACGTTTTCACTATTGGTGGAACTGCATTTTCCTGGCGTTCTCAGAAACAAACACTAGTTGCTACATCTTCAAACCATGTTGAAATCATTGCACTGCATGAAGCAACTAGGGAGAGCATCTGGCTCGGAAATATGACTCAACACATTCAACAAGCCAGTGGATTATCAAATAATAAAGATCCGACGGTCATATTCGAAGACAATGCAGCATGTGTCGCTCAGACCAAAGAAGGATACGTCAAGAGTGACAGAACTAAACATATCCCACCAAAGTTCTTCTCATACACTCAAGAGCTTGAAAGGAACAAACAGATCAAGATTCAATACATCCGATCATGTGATAATGCAGCAGACTTATTTACGAAGGCGCTCCCAACTACAACATTTCGAAAGCACGTCCATAACATTGGAATGAGACATCTTCGAGATTTACACGGATGATAACTCGAGGGGGAGCATGTGCGGCTGTACTCTTTTTTCCTTATCTCGGTTTTTTTCCCACAGGGTTTTTCCGAATAAGGTTTTTAATGAGGCAGCATAAACGCACATTGCATAGTGGTAATTCCAAGGGGGAGTGTTATAAACAAGTCACAAGTGGAATGAACCACTATGCATAAATAGTGACATTTAACTATTTGAAGGAATGAGAATAGTGATAGGATATAAATCTTATGTAAATTATTGAATGTATTGTCGGGAAATTTTGCCTATAAAAGGCACTCGAAATGCAATGGAAAATGTACCATTGAAAGAAAGAAAGAAGAAAGAAATATTCAGTATAATTTCTATCCGGTTTCTATTTTGTGTTCTTTATCTTTCCGTTTTTATAACAAATATATATATTATATATATTCGGCACAGGGTCAACTTCAACCTAAAACAAATCGGCCCACGAGCTTTGAATTATTGAACTTCTTACGTGTCAATTTTATCAGGGTTGGAACCGAGGAGGCCCTGCCATTCTTTACAAAATTATTACATTTCCCATTCTCTCTCTCTTCGTTTTTATATTTGCAAGTAGTGTTAGCTTTTATATATGTGATGAAGTACACCATATGTACGGATAAAATTTAGCAATTTGTACTTTGAAAATCATTTTTCAAAGACAGACCGGGTCGATGCTATTCATGTGGGTAGTGACTTTTTGACTACAAATTTCACATACATCCATATGAGTGTGTGTGTGAGTGTGTGAATATGTGGCCAAAAAGCCCATGAGAGCACTACCCACATGGGTAGCATGAAATCTACCGACGACCGATATTGAATGTTGATTAGACATGGTATCTGGGTCGGGTCCAGGTTGATTCGACTGGTCACCGATTTCAAAATGACTGACTTTGAATCAACCGATATCTTGATACGTGCAGAATACACAACCCTTCTTACAAATAAAAATTAAAATTAAAAATCGTTGATTTTTTCAAAAAAGGCCCAAATGCGGCTCAGCCCGCCAGGTCATACGCTCAAAATGGCTGATCTTGAACTAGCCTAGTGTGAATCTGGGTACGGGCCCCAACTCGTGGGTCAACGGGTTGAACTTGATCGAATTCGTGCCGGTACCAGGATAGTCAAGGCCGAGTGACCCATGACCATATCTGCTGATGAGTGGTTTTTTTGTCAATTCACCTTGAAAAGAAAATGCTTCTTTTATTGTTTTATTGTTATTTATACTTCAAATAAAATATGATAAGTTAAATTTATCAATATTATATTTATAATCATAAGTTGTATAATATCGAACTATCTCACATTTTATAAATTGGGTCATCATTAAAATAAATAATATAAACTATACACAATATTACTTATATATGAGTTACTATATCAATCGCATAAAATATAATATGAATAATGAAAATTTTATAAATTTAAGAGAGAATGTGATCAATTACTTAGTTGAACAAAAAATAAATTATTATTGTTATTGTATAAATTGTTTGTGGAATTTTAAGGTGTTTGTTATGTCAAACAAACCAGTTCACTTTTAAAAGAAAAAAATTTCATGAGACAAAAATAAAATAAAATATAAATTTTAAAATAAATAACTTAAAACAAAATTTTCGCTATAGTTTTTTTTTTAACTGTGTAACTTCCATATATTTTAGTGTTAACCTATAATTAGTTAATATTAGTAGCAATTGTTATGAGATAAATAAATAAATAAAATATTATTACACTTAATTAATGCAAAATGCAACGTCCAGTTTGCATAATAAAAAAAAAGGCAGAAAAATAATATTAATTTGATAGCCTACAAGTATCTACTATATTACTCAACCTTGTGCACATACACAAATATGAATAAAATATTATAAGTTATATTAATTATATAATATTAAAATTATAAATTAAATAATGGTATCACATTTTAAAAGTTTGATCATTTATTGATTGCATAAAATGTAATGGATAATGTAATTTTTTATAATCATTAAGTATCATCACAAATTAATTAGTTAAAAAATATTAAAATGATAATTATAATATTATACCATCTTAAGAGGTATGACTTTGCCTTTAAAATCAATTCATTTATTTTTTTCTAATCTTTTAATGAAATGTAATATATATATATATGTGAGTGTGTGTGTGTGTTAGTTTTAGAATAAATTGCTTGAATAAAAAAATTGCTATATATTTTTCTATATTTATGTAACTTCCTTATACCACTAAGGCCTTGTTTGGCAATCAGTGGTTAGCGATTAGTTGTTAGCGGATTATATCAGCTGTTTTGACCAGCGGATTGTATTGACTGTTTTGACCGGCGGATTACATTAGCGGATTGTTCTAAAGCGTTTAGTAAAATTAGATAATCGATATTAATAAATTAAATAAAATAAGTAATGTGAGTAAATATATAGTTACTCAAGTAATAATAATAACAATAATTTATTAAATATGTAGAAAAAAATATGAAAGAACTTAATTTTGTAGATCAAATTTGAATAGTATTAATTAATTTCAATTCTCACTTGTAAAATTATATATAATCATATATATTTCACTTGTTTTTTTTACAACACATCTAACTCGTTCTTATACCATAAAATTTAATTCAATTTTTTTTCACATACTAAATTAATTTCAGTTTATTATAACGGAAATAACATAATTTTACTTCTATCTTATTCAAACAATTTTTGTTGGCGTCTGTTCTACTTGGAAAATAACTCGATTTTACCAGCTGATAGTAATAGTTGCTTTGATCATTAGAATGTTATAAGTTGTTTATAAAAGAATATTTGATAAAATTAGTTGTTTGTTATTAGCTGATAGTATATTAAATTACTAATAAGACTATTTATAAATAATTTAATATTTTTATTATAATTATTTAAAAATTATAATTGCATATTTTGTAATTTTAAAATTTAATAAGAACGTAATAGCACAAATTTTATTCTTTATGCTTGAAACTTTTTGATTGATAACCGAAGTTTCAATTAAACAAAAGGTAAATAATTATTCTATAGAATAATAAAATATTTTTATATTTCATTTAATTTGTTGATACTAAAAATAAATTCCTGTAGACCGATTTTGAAAAAAACATATATCATATACACTACTCACACATGTACATATATCATGTACACTACTCTACTTTTGACCTTTTAAAAGGCTATTAAATAAGAATCAAATTAATCAATTAATTCAAGCATATCTGCCAACCGCCAACATAAAACGCTCCAAAATGTAGCTTATTCAATTTTAGCATTTCGGCCCAATCAGCTGATATAAAAAGCTTCCCAACCAAACACATTTTTTGGCGTTTTGATTCGGTCAAACCCGTTATTATAGCATTTTGGGAAAAAACGTTGGAAACCAAACGCACCCTAAGTGTGAGATTTAATTACTTAAGTTTTAATAATAGCTATTATAAGATATAATTAAAAGATATAATCATTACTTAATTAATATAAATTGTAACGATTTGTTACGGTAATTTATCGAACAAATTGAGCGGGAAAAGTTATCCTTGCTTCTTTGCCTACAATTAATATAGATTTATCATTAAACTGTCTCATTCAAAAAAGTGAGATCAAAATGTAAAAAAAAAAATAAAAAAAAAATAAAAGAAAAAAGAGAAATAAGACAGTTTTGAGATTACAAATGAATACAAAATAAAAAAATGTATTGATTGGTGTGATGAAAAATATATAAGAAGAATTATTTTTTTCAAATGTGTTAGAGCATCTGCATTCGTCCATTTAATTGTCTCATTTAAATGCAGTGTTCCCCGTTCAACAAATGCAACCATCAATTAATGCGTGGGACCATTGTTACCGTTAACAACATTGAACGGCTCTTTTGAGCCTTATTTATTTATTTTTTTATTTTTTTTTCTGCAACTGCGTTTTTTTATATTTATATTTTTTATCCTCATTTTTTTGCCTATAAATAAACTTTCATTTTTATACTTCTCTTACACCAAAAATTTAACACTTTCTCCTACGAGATAACACAGTGCATCATCAACTTCGTGCCGATTTAGTTGAGCATATTAGGACTCATTTTAGCCACTAAAAAAATTATTTTTTGTAATTGTACTATTTTTTCTTGTGTAATCTTAATTTAAGTTATTTTGGTCTTGTAGTGTTCTTTTATTTTCATTCATTTAAAATTTATTATTATAATTTAAAAGTATTAAATTTTTATTTTTATTGAGACTAGAATATTAAAAATTTATATTGAATGAATGGATATAATGAGTCTCATATTTGTATTTAAATGAATGTGTATGGATGTGGGTGTGTGTTTAAATGGAGCGAGAATTAGTGAAAAGATGATGTGGATGAGAGAGAGTGTAACTTTTTGGTTGAATGAATGGGAAAAAAATTAATGGATGTGGATGCCCTTATTGGGATTGTAGGGAGAGAAGCGAGATGCAAATATTAAATAACTTAGATGNAAAGTCAACATTGTGGTCGGATTTGTCACGTGGCCCGCACGTGACGCCATCGTGGCCAATCTCCTCTGACTTGGCAAGCCGGGACGCGGATGTGACAATCAAATTAATTAAAAAATACAAAAAAAAAACCAAAAATCCACACGAGCATTAAAATACATATAAATAGGCAAGATTGGGAAAAATGGGATCGATTCTCACACACACTTATCCCCAAATTTATCGTCTCCCCCAAGAACCCTAAATTCCCAAACCCAAACCAAGAACCCTAATCCCCAGATTTACAAAATTCGCACATAAATATCCTCGAACTCATATGACAGGGATCATAGGTACTGCTATTGCGGTGAAAGGTCAGTCATTCGAACCTTTTGGACATCTGAAACTCCTGGCCGCCGATTTCGTTCTTGCATTGAGTACGAGGTAAGTGGATATTGTTTTCCAATTATTTTTTGGTTCATTTTTTTTGGGCAAAATTGTTCCTATTTTTCTTTGTATCCAGGAAACCCAAGGTGTGATTTTTTCTCTTGTGTTGATCCTCCTATGTGTAGAAGGTCCACGGAAATTATTCCTGGATTGTTGCAAAAATTAAATGTTTTGCGTGCTGAGAATGAAGAATTGCGAGAGAAAAACATTAGATTGGTTGAATGCAAGAAGAAGCTGGAGTTAGAGATGTCAGATTGGCAAAGGCAGTTGAAGTAAGCGGAAATGATTCCTGGATTGTTGCAAAAATCAAATGAGTTGCGTGCTGAGATTGAAGAATTGCGATAGGAAAACATTAGATTGGTTGAATGCAAGAAGAAGCTAGAGTTAGAGATCTCGGATTGACAAAGGGAGTTGAAGTCCGCTAAAAAGGCCAAATTTTGGTTGCTCATGGGGGTTGTGACTCTGTTTCTGTACATGTTCTTAAAGAACAATTGATCTGACCGAGCTATGAAGATGAAAATGGTAGTGTTGGAGTAGCTTTGTTATGTTTGAACTTCTTGTTTGTTATTTGCTAATGGGAGTTGTGACTGTTTTTGAACAATTGTTGAACTACTTTGTTTGACTTCAGTTTTGTTGTTTGAACAATTGTTGAACTACTTTGTTTCAATTCACTTTTGCTGTAATGAAAGTATGTTATGTGTTATTGAATGTTAATGGTTGTTGCTTTGTTGTTGAATGTTGGCAGGGTGTTTATGGCTGGCTGTTACTATTGAACGTTAAGGGTGTGTGAATTCACTTTTGCTTTGTTTATGGCTGTTGAACAAATTTGAATGTTAATGGTACATGAAAGTTCATACAAAAACCACTGATAATTTCGTAACCAAAAAACCATCAATTAACATACATTAACTTGAATGAACACATTAATTTCATAACTTCAATTACAAAACATCCATAAACCTGTTTTACACTGCCATAATCCAAATTTCACCATTACACATCCAAAGGCAAAACCATCCAAAAACCATCATCCAAAACTATACAAAACCATCCAAAAACACCACAGTTTGAATGACCATCCAAAAGCATCCTTAACCATCAAAAACCATCAAAACACACCACAGTTTCAACAGTTTCAATGACCATCAACAATTTCCAACAAATACAAACACTTTTAGTTTTCATCTCTTGATTGCATTGAACTCTGTAGCTGTTGGTAAGGGGTAGACCCGGGCTGATTGGCAACTCTAGGGATTTCATACTCATCAATGAGTTCACACAATGACTGCAACTCCTCATTTTCTTCGTCATGCCTTATCACTGGTGGCAAAAGTGTAGGATTCTAAAAAAATGATTGAATTAAAGTTAAAGAAATATGGTTAGAACAATTGGTTTCAGCAGTGAATTTGTTATAGACAAATGGATAATTAAATGAATGTAATGAACATTTACTTGTGATGTTGTTCCGTCCCAACTGTGGCCATCTTTGCCCTTTTCCTTGTACCTTTGTCAGCAGCAGCAGTTCTTGCTCTTTTTCTTTCAAGCTATATTCAAAGAAATGGATCAATTCAATCAGATAAAGTGAAGTCACATAAACATAGAATAAAAAATGAAAAAACAGAACTTATAACATTTAATAGAAAACTTACAATTGTATCAAAAGCCCTTTTCAATGGAGAGTTGTCCATGAGTTACTTGACTTTGGTTTTGGTTTAGAGTGTTCATTTTTTTCTCCTTTCTTTTCTGACAAGACCTTGTGTTGTGGCCAGCCATGCCACACTTTTTGCACCTCACAGTTGCTGTTGCCTCTTCATTTTCATTGGTTGTTTCCCTCTCCTCTTTTTCCCTTTCTTTTTAGGCTCTTCTTGATCTCTTCTTCTTGCCTTTGAAGGCCTGCCAGCACCCCTCCCAAAGTTGGGAGGTAAAGGAGGAACAAAAAGGGTCTGTTTCCACAATGAAGGACCATTTGTGACTAGTATTAACCCCTTATACACATTCCTATAACACTCTTGTAAATAACAACCATCTACAAAGTCAACAGGCACCAGCTTCTAAGCTATTATGGCACTACATGCATGCTTACAAGGAATGCCCCCCAAATCCCATACCCTACAGCTGCAAATTTTCTTATCCAAATCAACAGTAAACTATGATTCATCATAACACTTAATCTGATAGTGCCTATCATCACATTTAATTGGCATGCAGTCAGATACATGTGACAAGTGTTTCTGAAGGATCTAGTTTATGTTAGGGCAAATTTTGTTCTTCCACTTCAACTTTGCCTTATCTCTTTTTTTCTGCATCTTAATGCATATATACTCTCTAATCCACTCAAGCATAGTGATAATAGGCTTTTCCCTTGCTTCAAGAATGTTGCAGTTAAATGTTTCACACACATTATTGAGCAACATGTCACACTTTGGCAGTTCAGAAAAAAAAGCTCTTGACCATTGGTGTGGTGGTTTATCAAGGAACCAATCAAAAGCATCAGAACTCATCTTTTTAATTTCAAGCATCCTTGTATTAAACTCACCAATAGTGGTTAGCAAACTTATAGGTCAAACCCCTAAACCCAACCTTCAAAAAATTGTTGTGAAGGTGCCTCACACAGAACCTGTGAGTAGCCCCAGTGAAGACAACATCAAAGGCTTTGATAAGCCCCTTCTGCTTATTAGAAATGAAGGTATACTGCTCAGGCCTAGAAATGCCTAAATATTTCTTCAGAATTATGAGAAACCACTCCCATGTTTCAAAACACTCAGTCCCTACTACAACAAAGGCAATGGAAAACAATGTGTTGTTTGGGTCTACACCTACTACAGTCAAGAGTATCCCCCTATGTGGACCCTTTAAATGACACCCATCTACACCCACAATTGGTCTACACCCATTCTTGAACCCCTCTCTAAGAGCATTAAAACAAACATAAAATTTGCAGAATCTCTCCTCACCATCAAACTTCTCAGTGGCAAGAACAACAGCTGACCCAGGGTTTGAAGTTCTCAACTCCTCTGCATAATCCAACAATTGGGAATACTGATAATCAGGCTCTCCTTCAAGTTGTGCCAGGGCTTTTCTCTTAGCCCTATAGGTCTGATCCTTTGATATATTAACATTAAGGTTGTTAATAATATCAAGTCTCTAGCCTTTAACACTTCTTTTAGGATCAGTTTTAAAATGGCTTAAGAATTTTTAACTTAGCCATTTTGATTTGATGTTTTTAACCTCAAAAGTTTTCACAGCAAGAGTGAATGGGGTTGTATTCCCTAATTTGGAAACTGGTTTGATCCTTCATTTTCAATAAGTTTATCTTCCAATTACACTCTTCATCTGCACATCTCACATACACCCTTATCTTATCATTTTTTTTCTGTCTAAAGGTTTCTGTTGGTTTTAATTGAATGCGATTGGATGGCTTTTATAAATTCTTCTTTAGTTGCAAACACCTTCCCAATATCAAACACAGGATCCCACACTTGGTTAGAATTAAACACAGGAGGATCCACATCTTCATCATCACTACCCCTTAGTTCATCTAAATCATCAGGAACCTCAACCACATCATCATCACTATCAGTACTAGAATCTCCATCTNACTATCAGTACTAGAATCACCATCTTCCCCCCCACTAGCCCCTGCATCCACATTCTCACTAAACAATGCATCATCATCATCATCACTACTACTATTTCTAAAATCATAATCACTATCAAGAAAATCATCCTCATCTTCTTGCCTCTCTAGTTCACTCTGTTCATTTTCATTTTCTTCACATCTAAATTCTCACCAACAAACTCTCATGTTCAATATTTTCATTCTCACAATCACCACCCTTCCCACTCTCAGAACCATTGCCCTTCCCACTCTCATTTTTACTTTTTTCACTCTCAGAACCACTAACCTTCCCACTCTCATTTTCAATATTTTCATTCTCACAATCACCACCCTTCCCACTCTCAGAACCATTGCCCTTCCCACTCTCATTTTACTTTTTTCACTCTCAGAACCACTAACCTTCCCACTCTCATTTTCACTTTTTTCACTCTCATTTTCACTCTCAGCACCACTACCATTCCCACTCTCAGAACCACTCTCAGACTCACTCCCACTCTCAGAATCAGAGTCAAAATTAATCCATCCCCCATCCAAGGACAAACTAGAAGGACTGAATGTACCTTCATTTTCAACATACAAAGTCATTTCTCTACAACCATATTTATGACACAAAGCCCTTATTTTAATGTCTTCATCATCAGGTAGTGGCTTGAAACCCAAACCAATCAATAAGAAGTACTTATTACTACCAACAACACCAAATTTGTCAGACATTTTCTTCAATGTGGAATTATTCAAGGACCTCATATGGACGAAATCAAATGTCATTTTAGACCCTCCTTGATAATACACAAAACCTTTTGTTTGAAATGTTCTACCATACCACATAGTTACTGTAAACAACTCACCACTACGATCTACGGAGAACAGACCCAAAAAACAAAGAAACAAAAAAACAAAACAAACAAACACAGAGAGTTTGTCATTATAAAAAAAAAAAAAATAAAAAAAAAATACTAAAACAAAACAAATAAACAGGGGTATCAATGAAAAAGGCAAATTTGCATTAAACTCACCGTATGCAGGGATGTCTGCGTCCCAATATTCCTTTGACCTAATCCGTATTGACTTCACCATCTTCGCGTTCGTTCAATCAAGCCTCTCACTCAATCGGACTTTATCTCCTTCTCACTCAATCGGCCTTTATCTCATCGTCGTCTCTCTGAAATCAAATTTCTCTATGGAATCTTCTCTCAAGAACGACCTTTCTTCGAATTTCTCTCTGCTATTTGTGTTCAGGAAAAACCCGATGGAATGAAATTTAGGGTTTTGATCCTCTCAAACAACGTCTCATCTGCCAAAGTGTTTTCCCTCCATTAATAATTGATTACGTTTTTTTTTTTTTTTTTTTAATTGTGTGCCCGCGTGGATTTTTGGTATTTTTTTCTGTACTTTTTAATTATTTGGTTGCCACGTCTGCGTTCGGGCTTGCCAAGTCAAAGGAGATCGGTCACGAGGGCGTCACGTGCGGGCCATGTGACAAATTCGACCGCAATGTTGACTTTTGGACGTCGGAAAGACCAAAATTACGTTGAATTTGGAAGTTACGGGACTAAATAAGAATTTGTCCGATCCCAAAACTAAAATGGCCACGAGGCCAAAGTAGAAGAACAAAAATACAATTTTGCCTATTTTAAATTGTCACCTTGATTGGCGTCCTTTCGCATATTCCAAGGGATATTTATGGCCCTCTACTTAATAAATAAAAATAAATGTACGAGATAAATGAAAAATAGATAACTGTAGACTCTGAATAGACAAACCAAAAGGCTTAAAAATATTTCAAACATGATGGACGTCTTCATCACTCAAGGCGTCCTTCCAAAACCGAGTACTGGACAAACTTAGAAATATTACCTACTTAATTTTGTACCTTATAGTGGACTGTCTGTGACATAATTTATATGAATCTAAAATATTGACACTGAGAGAGTTTATCCATATAGCAATTTATCGATATCTGATATATAATTCCACCTTTTGATTCATTGTATATATGTCGACCAGTTATAGACCTATTATTTGTTTAATAAAGTAAACTTGTAACATATTGACAAGCTAGTTAAAATTCAATCATATAAAATATAATTTATGTAAATATGGATTATGTAGTTCATAGATATTTTGGACCAATAAATTTAGCTGAATAAATCAAAATAAAGATCTCAATAAGCTTTTAAGACACTAAAATCGTTATAAATATATGAGATAATATTTAGTTATTTTTTTTAAATAATATCCCACCGAACAATATTTATTTGAATATCAAAAACTGTAAACAGACTAAATAAGTTATAATTTAATTTACGAATCTTATCAAACCTACTCATACTCACAACTAATTTAATTTAAGTACAAATGATATAATTACATGCATCATTAATAATATTTATTTTGTTATTAAAAGATCTACATAAGATACAAAAAGTGGAAATCTCCGTACTCTTTCCCCGCCATTTTTGAAACCCCCACTCCAGTCAAGAGTCCCCGTCATGATTTAATTTTGAATTTAACTTTCAGTTGACATTATTGATTATTCACACGTCTCTTCATATTATAATAATCACACGCACACACACTATAATATCTTATGGAAATACGTAATCTGCTACAATTTTTTTTTCCCCCATTTTCTGTACTTT